GACTCTCACTTAATCATGCAGGCCATCGCGAAAATCGATGGTAATATAACGTGCATCCCCAACAACATGGAGAGATACATCTCCTTCAGCTTAAATGGCCTTAGGTTCATAGATTCAGTACAATTCTTATTGTCGCCACTCGACAGTCTGGTCAAGGCCAATAATACCTTCCCTATTACCGCTTGATACACAGACGCCGAGACTAGACCCCTGCTTATGAGGAAGGGTGTGTACCCTTATGAGTACATGGATAGTGGGGCCAAGTTCGCCGAGACCAGACTACCCCCCATGAGAGAATTTTACAGCAATCTAACAGACTCGGCAATATCCCAAGACGATTACTCGCACGCGATTAACGTATGGAATAAACTGGGTTGTGAGAATCTGGGTGACTATCACGACCTGTACTTGAGGACAGATGTACTGCTGTTAGCCGACGTGTTTGAGACGTTTAGGCGGACATGTTTCAAGCAGTATAAACTCGACCCCGCATGGTATTACACCAGCCCAGGTCTGTCGTAGGATGCCTTGCTTAAAAAGACCGGAGTTAAGCTGGAATTGCTCACAGATTACGACATGCACCTATTCATTGAGAAAGGCTTGCGAGGTGGGATCTCCATGGCAACCAAACGATACGCCGAAAAGCAAATAATCAATAAGTGAAGGGCTACGACCCTAGCAAGCCAACCAATCACATTCTCTACCTCGACGCCAACAACCTGTACAGCTGGGCCGTGAGCCAGTATCTACCCACAGGGGGATTCGAATGGGTGTCACATGTTGATGTTATGAGCATCGCACCAGATTCGAACAAAGGTTATATCCTCGAGGTTGATTTGGAGTACCCCAAGGCATTACACACATCACACAACAGCTACCCCCTGGCCCCCAAACGTATGAGGGTTAACCCAGACTGGATGTCTGAGTACCAACATAACTTGTTAGGTGGGCGGGTGGCAGACGTTGAAAAACTAGTGCCCAACTTAATGAATAAGACCAAGTACATCGTTCACTATCGCAACCTACAGCTGTACCTGTCGTTGGGTATGAGGCTGAGCAAAATACACAGGGTGCTCGTGTTCAACCAGAGCCCATGGATGGAGTCCTACATCAGAATGAACACAGACCTCCGAAAGCTTGCCACCAGTGACTTTGAGAAAAATCTCTATAAGCTCATGAACAACTCGGTGTTCGGTAAGACTATGGAGAACCTGAGGAAACGCGTGACCGTGAAGCTGGTTCGGGCGAATGAGGAAGACAAGCTCAGGAGACTGATAGCCAGTCCGGCATTCAACCGTAGTAAAATATTCACCGATGACCTAGTTGCCCTACACATGAAGAAAAGCCACATAAAATTCAACCGGCCTGTTTACGTGGGGATGAGCATCCTCGATTTATCCAAACACCTGATGTACGACTTTTACTACAACGAGCTTAAGAAACAGTACAACGACAGGTGCGAAGTGCTGTACACTGACACGGATTCCCTGCTGATGGAGATTCGAACCGAGGACGTGTACGAGGACATGAAAAAACACCTTAATTTGTATGACACCAGCGACTACCCCAAGGACCATACCATACACAGTACGGTAAATAAAAAGGTCCTAGGTAAGATGAAGGACGAGTGTGCTGGCACGCCCATAGCCGAGTACATAGGTTTGAGACCTAAGATGTACTCCATACTAAAAGCCGACAATGGGGAGATCCGGAAGGCTAAGGGTGTTAAGAAATACGTGGTTAAACAACACATCAAACACGCCAGATTCAAGGAAGCCCTGTTCAAAACCCGTACCTTTAGACATAAAATGAACACACTTAGAAGTGATGGGCATAAGATATACGGACTGACTATAAACAAGACGTCTCTGTCGCCGATGGACACTAAACGTTGGATAGCTATTGATGGGATAAACACGTACGCGTATGGACATGAGAAAATTGAACCAAGAGAGAAAGTTTGAGGCTATTTACTATAGCCCACGTGGATACTGGAAAGGCGCTAGCGCTGTAGATAAGCTGGCTAAAATGGCGCGAGTACCCCGGAGGAGGCCAAAGCGTGGCTTGAAAAACAAGCCCTATGGCAGATCTATTTACCGGCACCACGCTACGTGCCTAGAAGGAAGTTTGGTATTAACATACCTAATAGCGTTTACCAGGCAGACCTACTGTTCCTACCCCACGACAAGAGGTACAAGTATGCCTTAACCGTAGTGGACGTAGCCAGTCGCTACAAGGAAGCCGAGCCCTTGACAGCGAAAGATTCTGCCCAGGTAGCCAGAGGATTCGAACGCATATACAAACGCAGTCCGCTGACGTGGCCAACAGAGCTGCAAGTTGACCCCGGGCGGGAGTTCATGGGTGTTGTGTCACACCTGTTAGACAAACACGATACAAAGGTCAGGCGTGATACGGCTGGAGCCCATCGCAGCCAAGCCATAGTTGAGAGATTCAATAGGACTTTGGCTGAGCGCTTATTCGGGCATCAGTATGCGAGGGAGATGGCCACCCCGGGGAAGCGATCGACTGAATGGGTCACAAGGTTGCCTAAGGTGGTGTCGGCAATCAACCATGAAGTCACCCGTCTCACCGGCAAGAAACCGGTAGACGCTATCAAACTAAAATCAATAGTAGCAGAGTCGGCTGCTCCATTGCGTGGGAAGGAGAAACAGATACCAGATAGGGCCCTAGTTAGGTATCTATACCAGCCGGAGGAACACGAGGGTGACAGCCGTAAGCGAGCCACTGACCCAATATGGTCAGTCAAAACTTACAACATAGATAAAGTGGACATGAAAGCAGACGAGCCTAACTTGTACTACTTGAGGGATGGGCCAGGGAGAGGGTTTGTAAAAGCGGAATTATTGATCGTACCGTACGGCACAGTGTTACCTCCTGTCAACACGGCATAGCGGCAATCCCAGGATACCAACACACTTCAGCCATGTCCCCGGTAGTTAAGCGGCGCGGCTAGGAGGTATAACATTGGGGGTTCGTATCCCGCTACCGTCCCAAACTTTTTTATAGTAGGGGTAATGGTAGCAAGAGCTAAGGGTCCGCCCAAAGCCTTATTTCCCAAATAAGGCTTTGCAGAGGCTTTTGTTGGACCTGGTCCAAAACCCCCATTGTATATACTACTCCTTGCAATTATATTCTGTACAATAAGGAGGACAAAGCAGTGTTTTTCAATAAGATGCTTGTTGTTGGTATATACTCTAGCAGGTGTTAAGTTTTGAAAGAGATTTGAATGTCTAAGCCTTTGTAACTATCACCATCTGCACATTTGTGAAACAAAGGGAATCAGTAACGCATGACTGAATGTAGGTCGGTATTTGAGGAAATGGGGGATTAACAGTACTATTAGTCAAGTTCCTATCAAAATGGCCTCTTTGTTTATTTCTCATAGGATATGATATTCAAAATCTTACTTAACTGTAGTCCTATTTTTATAATCAAGCCATAAATCCAAGTTGACAATTCCTTTAGTATGTTAATGTGGATTATGTCAGATAGAGAGACCGGCTGATTATATATTGTAATGTAGGCCTGTAATGATGTCATGATACAGTACACCTAAGGTAACAGTGGTGGACAAAGTGTTTTTTGCAACAAGAGATGATAGAGGTGTGTATTTGATAATAAGCCAAAAGAAATATGCAAAATACAAATTTGATCAAATAGTGTACATTGTAGATATAATCCAATTTTGCATTTCACTTTTTGATGACAAAAATATGAATTGGATTTAGTGACCACTGCTTACCAACATCGATATCTTGTTGATTAAAGGAATACAGAAATATATTTGTTTTGGTTTTTTAACAAAGTAATTTGTAATGTAATTAATTACATTGGTAATGTAATTGTAATTTAATTAATTACATTTCAAAGTAATTGAACCCATGTCTGGTCCGTAATCATTTTGTTTCCGGAGCATAACTCAAAAACCGTTCAGTATTTTTCAAAAAGAATTGGTAGATATATCAAACAGATTCCAAAGTGGTGCTTTTTGTCATTTGCAGATTTTTGTCATTTTTATTTTTCTTGCTTTCCATGGAAACGTTTTAGACCTAGTCTCAAAAGGGAGGGGTGGGCTTCATTTCAGGAGCATAACTCGAAAACCGTTCAATATCTTTCTACAAGACTTGGCAGATATATCAGACAGATCTTGAAGTGGTGCCTTGATGGACTTTGTCCAAATAAATCAGGTTGGACTTCAAGCAACTGTCAGATGATTTGTTCTGTCATATTTGTGGGGGCCGGGGGATGTCATCTTCTGATGACTCTTGTCTTTTAATGCTCTTTCATTGAGATCATGGGTGTCTCAGATGCCTGAGCGCCACAGTTTGCAGTGCAGATTGGAGTTACTTTGGCATGCAGAAACCAATGCTGACAGGTTGGAATCTTGGTTTGTCCCAGTTGTTTATGGGTGTGTCAGCCTATACCTATCGACCGCCTCCGTGGTGTAGTGGTTAGAGTGTCCGCACGGAGAGCGGAAGGTCGCGGGTTCGATCCCCGACTGCGTCATACCAAAAGACGTTAAAATATGGTACTTGTTGGTCCCTGCCTGGCGCTCGGCATTAATGGGTACAAGAAGGACTGGTCGGCTCGGAGTCAGTATAATGTGTCTGAGTGGGGTATTCATGCTTCACTGTGGTATGGTATCTCAGTGGGCTAGCACTATAAAACCAGCTTAAGTCTGGGCTTGTACAAGCAGCCACACATACACATACACACGCTTGCACGTCGTCATATGAGCGAAATATTCTCAAGCACCAAACTGGTAAACATCAGAAGCCTTGATCACCTGATGCTGTGGTTTAACTATAATACTGTTTAAAGCAACATAAAACCCAACTCATTCATTCACTGAATATTTGCAGATAATTCCTGGATTCACCATAATTCCAACACAGTCCCTCAAATTCATAACTTGAGCCAAAGAAACCTTTTTTGCCAATAACATCACGCATAGTAAGATTTGCACTTTTCTGTTCCAGGCTGTCAATGTTGAATGGCCACCTCGACTGTCTTGATGGCACCAGCTTCACCTGTGATATGAAAGACATTTCTGCAAGTGCTGTGTTTACTGCATCTATTGTATTTGTGTTCACCAGGACACATGAAATAAGGAGTGACTCAACTGGGATTTCCTTATAACTTCCCCTCATGATGTATGAATCAACTGTGACAGAACTGTGTGCTTGTATCCTATGAACAACATTCCATTGTGGTTCAAATCTCAACACATTTTGATAGTTCTTTTTAGTCTGGCATATGACTATTTGTTTAAATTTTAGGGAAAATGTCATGTTTAGTTATGAATGCATAAATAACAGCAAATAAGACTGATGCAAGAATACTGTAATTGCAAGGAACAAACTTGGTTGGGAATTACGAAGAAGTTGTAATCCTTAAAGGAACACATCAAGCACCACCTAAAGGCTGGAAGATTTAAGATAACATGTGATCTTTGTCACAGTGGAGTTCCTTATTGTCAAACGATTTCAGTGTTATGGCTACAACCTATGACAACTCTGCACAGAATTATGGGAAGAAAAATTCTGAAAAAATTACAGTACTGTAACCCTCCCTTTGTCATTGAACTGCAGTTGATGGCAATATTAATGTGAGCACATCAAATGAAATATTGTCCTGAAAAGTCAAGTGATTGAGAACTTGAGGAACCTGGATGATATTGGGAGTAGAGATAAACACTTGTCAAGTATTTCATTTGTTCTTCCCCCACTAAACCAAAGTAGTTGATCATAATCAAAATCACTCCGCTCCACTATCGTTAGTATGTAAGAAGTAAATGAGTCCATTTGTTTCAGGACATGTCACCTGAAGACTGTTTTCTGGATCTCAGCTGTGAACGATTTTTTTGTAGGCAAAACATTTTCATTTCAGTTTTGAAGCAATATCTTCTAGTAATACCATGAAGAAGGCTTTTTGATTACAGGATCGAATGAACCCACCACTGTAAATATTTAATCAGCATTTTAGGCTCCTGTGTTCGGCAAAACTGCTTTTGATATGCTTGACTGAAAATTTATGTATCAGTTTCAAAGTAAGATGTGATCTACTTTTGAAATTTCGTGTGTTTCAAGGTGGTGTGTTTTGGACTCAATATCAAATTATTCACTGAAATTTTCTTAGACCATAATCTCATCTACCCTGATTTTGAAGAAATATTAGATTATTATTTTTATCACCAAAATACACATCTTTAAACCACAGAATATCATGGACTGGTAATGCATGACTGCTGTTTCCAGTCACATTTGAATGTAAATCTTCAAAACTGACTTCATATTCAAAAATTAAATCAACAACGACATGCTTCATACTTGATTTATTCTTTTTCCCATTTGGTTAAAAAATTATTACTACAGAATGAGGCTTGAACTGTACATTATCAATTTGTCCTATGTTGCGATACTGTGAAATTGTAGGCCAGGTAATCGGCAGTCGGCAAGCAGGCAGGGACAGGAAAGAATGGATACATCTGGAGTCGGCCTTGAACACAATATATCAACATTAACACAACACAGACCTCAGGAATAGCACTATTTCAACATGGGGTAACAGTCAAAGGCCGTATGCCTTTCTTACAAGTCCTGCTTGTAGTGGATATTTTCAGCCCTGTCTTCCAAAGTGAATATACAATGTATATGATTGAACTGTGAACTTCAATTGATTTTCAGAGGAAGGCAATATGGTATCACAATCAGTGTTACCATAAATTATTTACAAACATTGCACTCATCAATTTGGCCAACAATGATTGGCTGTATTCCAAGAATATTCGTAGCATTTGTAATTTAAAATAATGGTAATGGCTCATTCAGAATTCTTTAAATCTGATCAATTTCATGATTCCTACAGATAATGTATATATTCATAACCCACAAAAAAAAAAATGTTATATTCAGCAGTTTGGTAGTAAAGTTAAGTCATAAATGTTTGGCCAAATCATAATTATACACAGTATTCATTGTCACAATGCCTGGTCATTCAAGATCCTTAACTTCTTCAACAAGCAACGAAATACAGAGATGCCAACCCCAAAGTGTTGCAAATAGTATTTACAAGGATCATAATTTGTAGTCCACTAAATACTTAAAATCATGATGGATTCTGAGCAAGATAATATGACACCATAGTGAAGCTGTTTAGTATACAGTCGCAAAGGTATTGATATCAGCTTCAGATTTCTGATAAACATACTTTTAGTGAAATTGTTTGTTACTTGCAATGATGAATGGAAGGTAAGAGAAGCCGGAAAAAGTATTTAATTAATGAAACTATGTTTTTGTCTATATATCTGAATTGTAATGAATGTTTTTCAGATTTCATAGAATTTCTAGCGCAATAGTACTGGCATAGTTTGAGGCTAAAATTCGTCGCGACTATGATAAAATCATAGAGGTTGGCATCTCTGTAAATGGTTACTCAATACATTAATGGAAGCTATTGATTACCCTGCTGTTTAACTCAATCCATGATATTGTGTACAAACCATACCTTCAGATGAGATAACTAATTGTTACATACTCAGGAAATATCTGGTCTGGACAACAAAACATTAGAGAAACATTGTGCGCTTCTTCCTCCTAAGGTGTTTTGTTCGTACTGACAATCCAACATTAGCTTAAGTTAAAGTATATGTAAGATATCAGAGACATCCAAATGGGTCAGATGCTTTGATTTACAAATCTACCAATTGTTTATAACTCTTCCTAAGGCAATGTAAATTTCCATTTTATCTAAGGAGGTAAGTTTACGACAGATCATATCTTAGAGTAAAACCTCTCCGTTACAAAATTTTCAGACAGCGAACTTTCATTACAATAATGTACCAAAGTACTGAAAAAATCTTAAGGAAGGTTATATCCTGAAATTCAGAACATATTCTGCTTATAAACCTGAGATGAAAATATCCACATCAAGTTTGGCACAGGTGGAGGAAAGGACAGACAGAAGCAGGCAGATACACACACTAGGGTACTGTGACAGTTACTGTAAAGACATACACAGAACCGGCATAAACAGAAGCACCCCAGTCCCCGAGCCACACAGGGAGGAGGCAGCTGGGAGGGGCGTCAGAGAACTAGTTGTGTATGGGAAGGAATGCACACAGCTCCGCTCAAGTCTCTAGTCACCTTGTCTCACAGATAATGCTCTCAACAACCTCATCACTTCATCTTGTAGTCGGCTTCATCCCACAGTGCAGGGTCAGGTGCTCATAGTAGGATCAAAAAAGTAGGATCATCCGGAATGCGATTTCCATTTGTGAAAATAAATAATCAGCACCCTTTAATGGTCATAGCTAGAAGCACTGGTAACCTTGGTTGGTCCTGCTTTGCAACTCAAAAGAAATTTTATTCAAAAGGATTGATTTGTTCATGAGAACTGACAATAAAGAGATCCTTTCACACACTGGCACTATGAGTCAAGCCAAATCTTACTAAAGATTAGAGGTTCTCAACCATCCAGGCTGTTGTGAGCATTGCCATAGTACGTGAGCAATATGGGCATTTGTAGGAAGCAATCCTGACTGTAGGTTATTCAATAACAACAACAGCTTGTCCAAGACAGTGGGTTAGTCTTGTCACACAAGCTAATCATGATATCTGTAGTTATATTCACATTCAGGTGTCACTATATCACCATTCTTGCTATTGGCATCACATTTCAAGCATCACCATTTTCATCAGTATTTTCCAAGCCTGCTTGGGTTATTTGTTCACAGTTTTCCTTCCATGAAGATCCTCTTCAATCACTGCAGATAATGAATCACACTTTGAAGGGCACAGCAAAATAATGATGTCCCTCACAGAAGTCGTCTTTACAATATGTTTAGACAGCACACATCAACAACAAATCCCCACCACTCCCCTATATTGCTGAATGGACTCTTCCATATTGTCATACTGGAAGATACTATTACGGTGAAAGAGGGAGGTATAGTGGGCAAGGTGATTGTTGAGTGCCGCACTGTTTGATTTCAATCAAGTCTTTGTATCACAATCTAGTCAGTCCTAGCTACTTTGTTTGCGTGAATGTACAAATTTGTAAGTCTTAGGCGGCAGTACAGGAGTGTCTCTATCTTCACCGTTAAGGTCCAAAAAGTTATAGCCCCTGTCGGAGTTATGCCTAGGCAAAGTGGCGATATGTCCACTGTGAGCAGAGCGAGGATGGGAAACGCTAAGTGATCGGGGCAGTGTATTGTTCACATTACAGTCTCGCATGGAGTCCCGTCTAGGGGGCACAGGTGGGGGTTTATCACTGTCCTGCCGTGGGGTTGGGGGAGGTGGGTCACACGGGTCCGTGACCGAGTTGCGGGGTTTGCGTCTGGGCGGGAGGGGAGGTGGTTGCAGTGGGTAGTTGCCGTCTTCAGGGATGGCAGCAGGAGTAGACACGGAGCTTGCTAGACTTGTACTGCTGATGCTCAAAAACCCAGCATCTGAAATAGGAAAGAAACTCTTAGATTTATAAATTGTTCCCATAGCAACTGTATTTCGCATTGTACCATGAAATGATCATTGTCCATACTTCTCATATTTGTGCACATATTCCTCCATTTAAAGTGAACAGTTCCAGTGATATCAGTGTCAATTTCACCCTCAAATGGTATTGTTTTTCATCAATTTTCAGTCTCGAAGTATAATTGAAGTTAATCAAGAAATTTCTTAATCCAAATGATTTCAATTAGAAAGTACAGTCTGGATTAACTATGTTCCACTGAATTAAACTACAAACAAACTTTTACAAACCAGGGCCTAGATTTTCTAAGCTCTCTTACAGCTAAGATAGTGGTAAGTTAATGTTAATCTATGGCACTTACGACCATCTTAACACTAAGAGAGCTTCGAAAATCTATGTCCTGGTACACCTGTAACTGAAAGAACAACTACAGAGAAAAACCACTGTAATATCAAGTGAGAAAAAAGATTGTCTGTTTGCTGCACTCAGCAAAATTCCAGCTATGTGACCGTGGAATGTAAATAATGGAGTCTGGACCAAACAAACAAGTGCTGGATATTGTGAGCCATGACACATGCTGTTGGGAGTACAATGACTCTCAATCAACTAAGTTCCTAAGAGAGATCACCGTATCCATTTGGTGAGCTCTTACAACCAGCAAAGGTGCAACATATACTCATATACGCCGCTTTTAGCAATATTCCAGCAATATCACGGTGGGGGACACCAGAAATGGGCTTCACATATTGTACCCATGTGGGGAATCGAACCCGGGTCTTCGGCGTGACGAGCGAACGCTTTAACCATTAGGCTACCCCACCGCCTCATATACTCATAGAAACGAATAAGGGAACACATGAAAGAACAAGTGTTCCTTTATATATTTCCAGAATTTCACACAGTGCAATACATACCTTGTGAAGAAACCTAGAAAAGAATAAAGGAACACTGTGTGTTCATGTGTTCCCTTATTTGTTTCCATGAGTATATCTTCAAGTTTGTGATTACACCTTGTCAGTAAACCACAGATTCTAGTACTCTATTTTGGCTTGAGTCCCATCGGGGATGTGAACCCATACTGTCAAAGGCATCTAATAACCAACACACAAAGTGTAATCCAAAATATATGTTATTATTATAAGTTATTGTGGCTTTCCCATTCTTACGAGGTACCCCTTCACCGCTGGGTGGATGTTACAACCAACCACTTTCTGAAAGGCATTGTGTATTTAGAAACAAGCACATGTCCTTAAGGACTCATATTCTCATCCGGAATCCTACAGCAATACCACCCCGCTTTCATTAACTGTATCTCCGACTTTGTCTGTACTTACTGGCAATTCCATGATCAAACACACTGTTGAAGCTGCTCCCAGTGGCAGTGTGCGGTGGGGTCAGGGGACTGCAGGGGGTGAGAGGGGGCGTGGCAGCAGCCTCATTGGGCTCTGTATCTTCTGGGCTCTTCACTGGAGCAGGGAAGCCAATAGGGAAGACACTCCGGGTTGATGTGCTGTGTCGGTTAGCCATGGGTTTGACACCAGGGGACTTTAACGAGTACTCCAGAAACTTCTTGGGCTGTAAGCAGTGGCATAGTGTCATTGAAAACATCCATAGTTTGACATTTACTTTAGGACAAGTACAGTGTCTGGAAGAGACTCCACAGTCCAGCTTGGATCACCAAATATATTTGACAGTGTTCCAAATTAACATCCTTGAGATGTTTTCCAATGGTATTCGACTTTGGGGCACCCTTAATCTGTAACTGTCAGCATTCGGCGTATGGCAAACTCCCTGAGTGAATGAGTGAGTCAGTTTGGTCTTTCACCGCTTTTAGCAATATCACGGCAGCGG